CATTAACTTTGATGGTTGATGCAGTGTGGCAAAATTCACACATTGATGTTCTTTACCAAATAAATATAATAAGTTCAAATTTGGATAAAATTACATATTAAATAATCAAGAATAACAAACTCAGAATCGTTTTTCGTATATAATGATATTATATCATTGAATTCAAATTTAATACCATCTTTAAAAAAACTTWAAAAAAAAAATCAAAAGAACCTGGCCAAGTGATAAGTGATAAAATTAACAGAGTTTTGTTAAAATTATATTTTAGGTAATATTCAAAAATATAATATCCTTAAATTGAGACTTATATATATATATATATATACTGTTTTGTAAGTACTAATGGCATTTATACATATAGGTTTATAACATAATACATTTTATAGAAAAAATTACCATAGAATTGACCATACATTGTAAACAACTTAAGACGATAAAATTCAGTCACCACACTATACGGCACCCTTACATCGCACGACGGAGTGTTTGACTCAAAGTCTAAAAACACTACACAACAATACTAAATACATAAACAAATTAATAGTTAATACATCGTAAATGGTAAATAATATGACGATCGCATTTGGTTTTTTTGTAGCGAAGTTCACTGTGTCCACCAAATGATTGTTGCCCTCACCTGTGGATGATGAGCTCGTCGAAATTTGATAAATTGTAGTTCTTTAAGAAATGCGTTGATCCTGCTACAATAAATACACATTTTTATAATATGTTATTATTAATCAATCAAAAGTTTTTCATTTTTAATGATAACAAATAAAGAAATATCAATGAACTTTAATTAAAATATAATATATCTACAGTTATTTTGTATCAGCTATTATCACATTATATGTTTTTTATTGAACTTTACTAATATCATTCAAATGCCATTAAATTAAAACGTAAATCAGTAAGAAGACTAAAAAAATGAAAAATAAGTAAGTTGTAATAAGTATCTACGATACTAAAAATACTAAAAGTTTTTAATTTTACATAAAATTTAATATTTATAACCAATTTACAATATCGCAGGTATTTGATTAAAAGTTCTCACTTCCTAATAGTCCACTAAATGGGCAAAATGCATAAGGTTTTCTTTCATTCGATTCAAATTCATTATATTTTTCCATTACCGTGATCAGTTACATTAAATGGAAGCACATGTGTGATATATTTTTTTTATTAGACTATAATATATTATTATGAGCCACGCGCGCATCGTTTTTAATCTAGGTAGGTATACCTACTCGAATACGTACATAAAAATCTAAAATAGCTTACAACCCAGAATCCAGTCTATGCAAAGAATAGAATAATCAATAATAGGCATCCCTATTTCATTGTCTAAACATTTTAAAATTAATAGATGTACAACAATGAAGTATATAATCATTGAGCTTAATTATATATATACTCTATATACTCGTAGTGCATGCGATGAGCTATCGATTAGATATCATAGAATTAAAAATATTTTATATTTTAATTATATTAAAAATAAAATAATACCCTACATTTTTCWGTTTTTCACCAATACCTATATCCACGGATTCACTGTCTACTTTCTGCATCGTGAGTTTGAAATGTTTAGACCAAATTTTAAACGCCCTGTTCAAATCTGATTTCACAGAATCGATGTTCACATTTTCCAAGCTCTTAAAAGCTCTTCCACAACCTGAGAACAAAAAAACATCATTGTTACCGATTATTATTATTATTATTTGTTATTATAGTACCGTATTTTGTATAATATCGCATATCATATAATTCAGATA